ACGTAGTTTTAAAGCAAAAGTAGAATTTAATTTAAAAAAAAAACAATTTTAAACTTTCCCCGTTTTCGAGTAAAGTTGACGTGCAATTGTTTCAATGTTCAACAAATCCGGGTTAAGCGGACCCTTAAACCGTCCTGAAATAAAGTGTAGGCAGGACGAATGCCTGTTTTATTTCCACCCTAGAGACATTTGTCGCGGAGACCCTCCTTACACCAGTCACTTGAATAAGAAATTGTGTTTGTTTTGACTCGAATTATTTTTTAAACAACCTTTAAAACAAAGAGTGTAAATGTGAATATTTAAATTGAGTAACAATCTACCAATCGCGCAGAGCATGAATACACCCTGAATCGAAACTATCGAAAACTGTTTAGTCAAGCTTTGATTCTTATGACCTTATATGGAAGTACGCACACTCAATTTTTATTTGTGCAACTAAACAGTTGAATTTACTGCATAACAATGGACTACGCACAACGGTTGTTCGATAGTATATAGGTGTGGGTCCTCTCTTAAAATGTGTCAAAACAGTTAAGTTAAATGCAGTATTTTGTAGATTAGTATATATCATTTGCTCAGTACGTGTGGTAATTCTAATACATATGCATAACCTCTCTCTGACCTACTTTCCCGCCACAAAATGATCTAATGTCAAATGCTAAATTCCAAAGGCATTGTAATTGAGAACTAATTGTTGATCAAACATGAAACAATTCAATACAAATAGTTGTTTTGTACGATTACGTAAACCATATATGCTTGCGTTAATCTATACTATTATAATAAAGCGTACACACTTCTTTGTTGCCTAAGATGTCAGTAAGTACAGCATATTTTTTTTATTATTATCTTTTTATAAAAAGCGCTACACTTACGTCACGCTTTAGGTTACATATTTTCACGCCATTAAACTTAGGGGGTAAATATTTTGGATAAAGACCTTAATGTGAGAAAGAGACCATAAGTTGTTGCCAACATCATGGAAGCAAGATTGCCAAGTTTTGTCATGTCATGTCATTTTGACATTTGAATTGACAATTTGACACATGTGAATAATAAAATAATTGTATGCTGATGGAATCGCACAGGAACAGCTAGTATTATTATAGTCTAATTTTTATTTTTAACTACGAACTGAAATCTCATTCCTGGCACATTAAAAAATATTTTTTTTTATAAAGAACGGGCGCACACCTTTGAATAAACTATCTCAATTGTTGTGCGATTGTCGATTGTTTCGCAGCCAATTCAACTGTTTATTTGCACAACTAAAAATCGAGTGTACGCACCTCCATATAAGCTCATAGGAATCAAAGCGCGACTGAACAGTTGTGCGATAGTTTGGTCAAAGATGTGCGTGCGGTTAGTAAGAGTTCATTTGTTTTCTACGTGTAAACTTAAGATACTGATTACTGCTGCTTTAAAAGTTCTTAATACGTTACGTAATATATCGATTTTAATTAAATATACACTAATATGGGCGTCACAGCCATGTTATGCTTTAATAAAATATAGTCTTTATTACCTCTTATGTTTTCTTCCAATTTGTACAAAATTACCTTACCAATATGGCCGTCGTGTCGTCGAACTAATGCAACACCCTTATTTTTGACATCCGACTACTATTCGATTATTAACATAACAAGCACAATTACGATTTTAAAACAATGACATAAATGTTATAAATAATGTTTTGGATCACAATTACAAAGCTTATATCGTTATTTCAAATTATGACAAATGGTATTTTTTTATAGCACAGATTAAATAACCTTCAAGAATACAGAATACATCAAAATAGTTAAAAAGCTAACACTAAGGAGACTTTAAAGATCATTATATATGCCGCGGTTAATGTTATCAGATCTTAAGAGCACTATTTCTGTTTCGCACTAACTGAACTTGTTTGTAATCAAAAACTGTTTATTATCTGTATTCTATGAAACAGTTCAAAGAGCATGTACAGTTGTGTGCAATTAACTATAGTGGACGTTGTAATTAGCATTGTATTGTACAGTCAGCAACAGCCGCAACAATTCTATACCGCATGCACTATCGTTAGTTGCGTTTGGTTAGTACTGTACATGTTGTAAATTTAAATAGATTATGTAAATAATAATACTCATAGTATTTTAATCTGTACTAATATTATAAAAAGAAAAGATATGTATTTTTGTATATATCGAAATATTCATTCATTCAAATGTTCTTTCGCCATTAAAAAGCTACGTTATCAGTGAGTAACAGACTACATTTTTATTATTTTTAACTAGCTTTCGCCCGCGACTCCGTCTGCGTGGAATTAAAAAAAAACAAAAGTGTAGCCTATGTAGTTGAGTAGTTAGTAGCCTATGTTTTCTTCCATATTATCCTTTATACATATCTATACCAAATTTCATCAAAATCCGTTCAGCAGTTTAGGCTACAAACTCTAACATCCATCCATCTAAACTTTCGCATTTATAATGTAAGTAAGACTAGTAAGATTTCTTGCGGGCAAAGTCGCGAGCAACAGCCAGTGATTACATAAACAGTGATTTGGAAGTCTCGAATTCTGTAAACATTTTGGAGGTTCTGTCTCTATGAGACCTTAGAAGTATGTAATTTATTGTAAAAGTAATCTAAAAAATTGCTTAATTTATAACATGTACATGTTTTAGGTCTAAAATATTTTTTGTTACCTAGAAATAACACAATTGTTGTAAAAAATATTTGAAATTCGTTTTAAATTGTCTATTCTAATAAATATCTCATCTTTTGATATTTAATCTATATCTATACTATTATAATAAAGCGTAAACACACACTTCTTTGTTGCCTAAGATGTCAGCAATTACAGCATATTTTTTAATAATACTTTTTAAGTAAAAAGCCCTACACTTACGTCACGCTTTAGGCTATATATTTTCACGCTATTAAACTTAGGGGTACATATTTTGGATAAAAACCCTAATGTGGGAAAGAGACCATAAGTTGCTGCCAACATCAAGGAAGCAAGGTTGTCATCATGTCATGTCATTTTGACATTTGTAATTGATAATTTGACAAATGTAAACAATTAAATAAAATTTTCATAATTTCACGCGGATGAAGTCGCATGGGAACAGCTAGTTTTGTAATAATTTTGACTACAATATTGTCTCTTAATACTAAATAACAATTAAGATTAACAATGTATGCCCTTCACTTCTATATTGAATATTTTACTAAACTATCTGCCAGACTAATTACGGTAAGAGGTTCTGGGAAATACATTAATATGAACGCTTACGTTACTGTCTGTAAAGTTGAACATATGAATATAGTAAAGTTTAATTAATTTTAATACGAAGTTTTGACATTCAAATAAAAGATTTTAGAGTTCAATGGCATAAAACATCAATATATCTAAGAAAATAAAATGTTTGAAAAGTTCGTAGAGGAATTTCTGTGTACATTTTTATAACACAAGCTTTCGCGACTCCGTTCGTGTATTAAAAAAAAAAACAAAAATGAGTAGCCTATCTTAAAGAGATATCTTAAACAGACTATCATCTACATCTATACCAAATTTCATCGTAATTCGTTCAGCCGTTTAGGCTACAAACTCTAACAAACATCCATTCATGCATCCAAACTTTCACATTTATAAAATAAAAATAATAATTCTTTATTGGACAAAAACAATTTTGTACAATATCAGGCGGACTCTGTCTCCTCAACTAGTAATAACTGTGTCTCAGGAGTCAGAGCCTTCACTTATACGTATCTACTAATATTATAAATGCGAAAATTTAGATGGATGGATGTTTGTTTCTTCATATCTCCAGAACGGTTGTACGGATCTTGATGAAATTTGTCACAGATGTAGAACATAGAAGCAAAATCTGGAAGAACAAAGACTACTTTTTTTAATTCCGCGCGAAAGATGTTGCGGGCAAAAGCTAATATTAATTATATATGAATTTGTATCACATTAAAAGTTATTTTATGGTAAAACAAGATCCGATTAGTAAAAGTAAAACTGTTTGAATTAATTTTGAAATGTTTAAAATTAGATTCCCAGAGATATTTCGCCTCACGGTAAAATTTTTCTCGATAAAATAATGAGACAACTATACTTGGGGAATGATCAAAGCTTTGTTATAGAAAATGCCTCATTAAAATGTTCACTCAGATTACTAAAGTAATGGTTAATATTTATATTAAATTTTTTTGTATTTCTTAAAGTCGTTTTAACTACACTCAGGTTCCATTAATGGGTACTATAGTGTCTAAATAAGTTAGATTAGTTTGACAATTCACTTCAAATTTTGTAGGGATGGTTGTTTAAAATCAGTCATGAATCTTATCGATTTTCGATTTTTATTCTTATAGAAGTTGGAATCGATAGATTCATAGTTATAACTTATGAATTGTAAAAAAACACTGTTTTCTTAAATTGATAATGACCATTACAAATAATGAGAGTAAATAAATGTTTATTACTATTACAGCCGTATGTAATCGAATTTGATTTCGCTATTGTTTCTGTCATCGCTAAATTCTCTACACTATAATCAATAATAGAATTGTCATCTAAATTAGTGAATAAGAAAATAATAATTTTAATTGAGTTCGATAATTATTTAAACCTAATATCGATATTCATAATTGTTCGCTGCGTGTTTGTTGCGTCACTACGATACCTGTCAATTAAGTACGGCATTTGCCTTCATACAAATTGAATTCAATACTTCATATGCGTCATTTATCAAACTAATCTAATTTATTTAGACAAACTATAACAACTTTTAATGTAGTTTTTTTATTAGAATTCTGTACTATGAGACCTCTTTAGTGAAAAACGTGTAAAAATATATCTTTAAAAAATTTATAAACGAAAATAATTTACAGATGGAAAGTTTTATTACATATCTGCAGATTCCTATGTATATATATAAATAAAAAAAAACAAAGTAGAATAATCAAGGTAATTTAAATAAAACGCACACTTTATTTTTACACTTTTATTTCAGAAATATCAATGTTAGTAAAAGTAAAAATGATTACTATAAGGCCTAGTACACACTTGTGAAACAAAATCGCAGCAATTTTTTTGTAACTTTTGCATGCATTTTTTTATAAAACCAAAAAAATCGCGCGATAAAACAGTGCGTTCAAGGCCTTAGTGATTACAGATGGCGGCAAACTTCTTGAACATTGACGTGTTTCCACTATTAAAATACGTAGAAAACAGCATTATTATCTCTTTTATTCTCATTGAAGAAGTAGAGACAGCGACAAGTAGTAACAAACAGTTAAAAAGTAGTAATTTGGATTTTGTTATTTTATTTAATAAAACAAAACGTTACTTACAACAAAGTAATTTGTTCAAAAAGTTTGCCAAAAACATACAAAATTAGCATCGCGACAGATCCGGTAGGCTCTTTTCCTTGCAGTAGGCGTAGGAGGAAGGCCAGGCTTTAAAACCGACCCTATCGTAGACCCTCTTAGCACATCGCACGTCATCAGCCAAATCTTCGTTCACCAGATCTGAAACATAACAAAATTATCATTTAGCTTTCGCTTGCGACTCCGTCAATATGGATTTTAAAAAACAAAAGCAAGTAGCTTATGTGTTCTCCAGACTATGCTCTATCTATGTCGTTTAGCCATCCATCCATTCATCTAAACTTTGAAACAAACGTATTTCTTACTTCAGAGAGAGACAACGATATGTTTTTGTACGTGCTTTTGCAGTGAAAACGCGATACGAACACATGAACAGAATAACAAAGTAGAAAGCAGTGTAAGCTCGCAACTTAACACTTGCGCTGCTGCCGTGAATCACGTTGTTTGACTTAAGTTACAAGTAGCTCGAACGTGAGTGAAAATATGCTGCCGACGATACGGTGTATCTAAGACGACCTGGATTATGTTAAGGTACACTTCCACTGAGCGAACCTGTTTTCAATTTCTCAAAAGTATTATTAATTTATTAAAAAAATACAGCAAATGTAAATGACTCACTGCCGAAATAAGTATGATTAATATACCCTAAGTGTAGTTTTTTATGAATATGTAAGATTCTATTCGACTTCTAGGCTACAAACACTAACAAACATCCATCCATCTAAACTTTCGCATTTATAATATTAGTATGAACTATGAAGTGGTAAATAATTTTAATTCACTTATAACACGAATCTATTCAATGTGTTTCAAAATTCCAGAAACGAGTAAAAACGTTACATTTGTTTACTAAAACCAGTGATAACAGTATCGTGAAATTCCTTCCATAATAAATAAAGATTAGAAGAACATTCGCGCGGGGATTTTAGCAAATTATCGAAATTAAAAGAGCATTAGTGAGCGAGGTTAGCTGCGCGCTGTGAGCCATAGATAATGCTAAAAGGGAATCTCCATTTGGTAACAGATGCGGTACAGAATTGGAGGCATCGTGTTAATTAGATTAGGAGTTTATGTTCATGTACCTTCGCATTTCATGCTGCAGTGACCGCCTTTTCTGCCCTTTTTGCACCACTCCTTGTTGTTTATCTGTGAAACAGTTAATACATGATGAGATTATTACCATCATTTTTTTTTAATAATATAAGGTGGCAGACGAGCAAGTGGCCACCTGAATCCACTGACATGGATAGCGACCGTTGCCCATTAATATCCACAATTGCAGATGCGTTGCCTACCCTTAAGTGGCGGAGGAGGAGTCGCACATAAAGGCGTCTCCTCCACCGTCAAATCCACTTTTCCTTCCCATCCTTTCCTCTTAAGGAAAGCGTGAAAAGGGAAAGGGAATAAAAATAGGTCTCCGGCACCATCCTCATACGTCCCCACCGAGGGGCTCAGAGCTTATCCTAAGTTAAATTTGACTAGGCCATAGTCAACCACGCTGGGCCACTGCGGGTTGACGTCACATATCTACGAATTTCTTTGGTGATATTACACATAAGGAAACCTACTCGGTTGCATCTCGATAGTTTTCTTTACCGTAAGAACGTCGGGTATGCACACATTAAATTCTAAATATCGAAAATCACACTGGTACATGACGGGATTCGAACCCAGGACTTGTAGATTGCAAGTCAAGTGCTTAAAACCTCGAGCCATCGAAGTTCCCGATGAGCTATGGAAAATATGTTCAATGTCAAATTGTTGAAAATTCGATTAATTGACAATATTCGGTCTGATTATAATTAGGAAGATTAAAATCTGACTTACTTAACTAAGTTACGGACATGGATTTGTTTATTTACAATAGAAATAAGTAGTCCAGTAAAATTATCATTATTATTGAAAACAAAATTTATGTTCAATTATTATTCAATTGTTAAAGTCGGTTCATTTGTGCACTGCATCTACATTCGATCGGGTGCCGCAAAGCGGTCTCGACGACAACGCTCTAATAATATTCCGTCTCCGATATTATTCCCGGACGTTCGGATTGTCTGTCGGCTCTAATTTGATTAATCCCGGAATTCGCTACAAATTCTATTAGAGAACTTCATTCAAACTAATCTATCCAATGCTGAATAATTTCATCGAAATTTTATATTTTAGTTGTAACTAGCTTTCGCCCGGGACTCCGTCCCCGTGCTATTAAAAAAAATATTTTATTACTGACTTGTCAAATTATTAATTGCAAATATCAAAATGACATGACATGATGACACACCATAGCAAACTTGATTCTTTAATGTTGACAGCAACTTATGGTTTCTTTCTCACATTAAGGTTTTTCTCCAATTTATTTACCCCTTAAGTTTAACAGCGTGAAAATATATAGCCTAAAGCGTGACGCAAGTGTAGGGCTTTTTATTAAAGAGAGAATTATTCAAAAATATGGTGTAATTGCTGACATCTTAGGCAACAAAGAAGTGTGTGTTTACGCTTTATTATAACAGTATAGATAGTATAGATTGCTGACATCTTAGGCAACAAAGAAGTTTGTGTTTGTGTTTTATATAGATAGTAATATTAATGATCGCATAAACAAGCAATGAGATTAAAGGAAATGGATTGTACGAATGGGGATATACTTAAAATATAGTGAATTCAAATATGACTGCTGATAAGATGTATTGAAGAGTAGTATTTACTGTACCAGCCTTTCGTTGGGAATAGGGCAATGTTTATTGTTAACAAATTATTGTTATCTATCAGTGTCTTTTCTTGGTATGAAAAAGAATATTTTAGTTGCTAAGTGATAGGAACAAACCTTCATTAGTAACCTAAAGGGTAAATAAGTGCTATTGGCCAGCACACTTGAAAGCTGCTAGCACGTGTCTGCTACGGGCATGTGTAAACTGGCGGGTATTCCCGCTATAGATTTATAAAAGTAACGGTAGATTTATAAATTAGCAAGTGAAACGTACTGTGCACAGTATATTTTAAACCTTATTTGATCTAAATCTCGTTATAATATTTAAAGAACTGTATGTTATGTAATATAACTGATGTATTTTACGCATTACGAATGAATTGCATTTAGCTGCTGATTTTTGTTAAATAAATTGATGTAATTGTATAAAATCGTATCAAATTACCACAATACAGCGACTAAACAATAAAATAACGAGATTACGTGTTGAATAAATACAAACAGGTTATAATAATTTGTGATATTTTAATTAAGGCTTAAATACAACAATAAAATGGTCGAATGAGCGCACAGAAAATCCCCCGTGAAAATCCCAAAACGACATAACATAAAACGATATGGATAATATCGCCCGTAGGCATCGTCAATGCGACGTTCAAATAAATAAGGGAATTAATTAAAAACGTGTTTGCTGACAAAATACAAAATGCAGGCGGAGCGGCCATGTCGGTGGGAATTTGCATTTTTATCGCGCCCCTAATGGAGAAATGCGTATCGGCCATTTTTAAACGAGCTTTTTTTTCGGGTACGTCAACGTAATGACTTCACCGCGCGCCTAGAATAAATTCCTCTACCCAAGTTAAGCTTTCGATCAACAAATAATTTGGCCACAGACTATTAAATTACCTTTGGATGGGAAAATAGAATTTCTTTAGACAAAAATTAAATAGGCCAAGTCTGGACTTGTTGATTTTATGCTTTGAAATTTCTATTGGATCACAAAATTTATTTTATATAGTTACGCTATGTTTACTTCAAATAACAATGGAAGATTTCTATTAATAATATTGCATATTTATAGCCATATTTTAAATAAGAAGCTGTTTTCATAATAACTTTATAAGTATAACATATACTTCTACTCGTATACTAATGTAAAGAGGAAAGATTTGTAATTTTACATTTATTGAAGTAACTCAAAAACTACTGGGACGATTTCAAAAAATCTTTCACCCTTAAAAAGCTACATTATCACCGAGTAACACATCATGTATGCCACGCGGAAAAAATTGCACGCAAATAGCTCGTATTAGATAAAATGGTAGAAGTAAGTTTTTATATCAAAAACAAAATAGGAACTTTCTGGTATAATAACAAACTTTGTAATTTAAGTTTAAAAGTCAGTTAAAGGCAGTTGAATATACTAACATTGTTAAATACGCGTTAACATTTACACCATTTTCAATTATAGCCGTCATCGCTGTGAAATAATGCAATACTCGATGCGGTTAAACGATTAATATCCCAACCGCAGAGCTTAATGAGGGACAATCATTTTTTGCGGAACTACAAACGTCCAACGCGACATCGGATTACACTCGAAATTCAACGAATCCGCGTGCCCCTTGATAATTTACTAATATTAAATTCAGCATACACCGCACACTGATTATCGACCATAATTTTAAATTAACACAACTGATTAATAACTGCTGACTGTGTCATTTGAATAATTAATGTCCGAAAGATTTAATGAAATTAATTACGCAGTATCTAGTGGTCTCTGAGGATTGCTTCAATGTTTGTCATTTCGTTCTTATTTATTATTCCTAATTGGGCATCCCCTTGGGCGTTATATCTTTTAGAAAAACTTCAATACATTATTCTTAACTGACTTCATTAAACTAATTTCTGGACATAAACCAGAAAGTGTTAATTGAATGTGCATGGCCAAAGGAAGAGGAAGACCGAAGTATGTATGGATTGTGTGAAAAAGGATATGCTGTATAAGGGATTGGATTCCGATATGACGACTGATAGAAATGTATGGAGCAGCACTTACTCTGCCGACCTAAGGGATAAGGGCAAGTTTATGATGATCTGACTCTATTAAAGAAGGAATTTATTAAATCGGCTGTATTTTTTAAGTTACTGCATATCTTCGTTCTTCGTAGACGGAATTGTACAATATAGACAACAGTTACAAAAGAGTATTCTATCTTTCCATATCATTAAAGGGATTTTATTACTTTTTTATATATTATTCGATTATGTTTTGTTTTTAGTGTTTGTTTCTTTAGGAGATAATGAATACATTAATTTTTCAGTTCTAAACTTGTTTAATTTGGATCTTAGCAAATAGAAATACTACGTGACTAATTATTTGATTATCTTTAAAAAGAGAAAAAATATCTGCAATGCGCTAGTTACAAGCTTAAAGTCACTTAATAAGCTTTTTAAAATTCTCACATCGTTATTCTGTAACGATTCACAAAAGAAACATTTAGTGATACTTGTTTTGTTCAGCAAAACTTTAAGCGCCATTCAACGTGCATTGTGTTTTGTTTTAGTCAGTAACTGGTCATCTGAGTGCAAGAAAACTGTATGTTCAGTATTGAATATGAAGTTGTTTGAAATTTTGCAACATTAAAATCTGATATTGTTGGGAGATAGGTGTTGAAGTGGTTTCGAGGTTTTCGTATTTAGTTTGTGTTTGTTTTAAAATAATTGGTTTAATTTTAAACGGATTCAATGCTAACATCGTGTTAATGATCATTTTCTTTTGGTATATGGATATCTGAGTCGTATTCATACTTTTCATACTAATATTATAAATGTGAAAGTTTAGATGGATGGATGTTTGTTAGAGTTTGTAGCCTAAACGGCTGAACAGATTTCGATTAAATTTGGGATAGACGTAGAGGGTAGTCTGGATGAACACAAAGGCTACTAAGTTTTGTTTTTTTTAATGCCGCGCGGACGGTGTCGCGGGCGAAAGCTAGTAATATTATAACTGCGAATTTGTAATTTGTAGCCTAAACTACTATACTGATCTTGATGTATTTTCACATAGATTTAGAGTATAGTCTGGAATCACAAAGGCTACTTCCGTTCTTTTTTTTAAATTTTCACGCCGACAGAGTCGCGGACGAAAGCTAGTTTAATACAATGTTTTACACAACATTTTTTTAGTCGGCAACCTTTTATACTAACATTATAAATTATAACTTACATTCATAGTAATTTACTAATTTTTTCAAACTATTTTACTTTTATAACATTGTCGGAGCTTATAAACTAAATCTTAACAATTTCATAAATCCTTTTCCTTAAAATCTTTTAAAGCTTTTGTGAAAATGTTCAATGAAGTCGGATTTAAAGATGACAAGGCAGACGGTAGACACGCAATAAGAAATAGACGATCGTCCGGAGCTTAGTT